ATATACTAATATTAAAAATTATATATTTTTTATATAAAACCTTTTTTTTACTTAAATAATTTATTTTTTGCTTTTAAGTAAAGTTGTTCAGAATTAAATTTTGTATTTATATAGTATACTAGTTTTTTTTTTAATTTTTTTTTTAATATTTTACTAAGTAAAAAATTAGATCAAAATTTTTTTGAAAAAATTTTGATCTAATTTTTCTCTTAGTAAATATTTAAAAAATAAAAAACTAGCACACTATACAAATATAAAATTTTATTTTAAACAACTTTACTTAAAAGCAAAAAATAAATAATTTAAAGTTTTATATAAAAAATATATAATTTTTAATATTAGTATATAGATAACTTATTTTTTTATTAAGATAATCTATTTTGTTATTTAGAAAACTTTGTTAAGCATAAAATTTTACATATAATTCTTGTTTTAAAATTAGTACTGTAAATATTTAGTTTTAATAGTTTTATTTTTAAAATTTACAAAATTTACAAAGTTTTAATTTGATTTTTATACTAACTTTGTTTACAATCTTGTGTTATATACAGGGGGGTGATAAAAATAATTCCACACCTAAGAACTTTGCTTATAACTCAAAAACTTACTAATTAATTTTGGCTTTTATTTATTTACCTAAATCTATATCTTTTTGTGATCATGTGATGTTATTTTTAAATTATATACTTGTATAATTAACAAGTTATTTAATTTTATTTTTAGAATTTTGAAAAATTTAGTAAGTGTCTGTGTTCTTTTTTGGTTGATCTATAGTATATATGGGCAATATAAAATTATTATAAGATTATAATATATAAAAATAATTATTTGAACTAATTTAAGCAAATTTATAAATAGTTAGGATTAGGCTGAGGGTTATAGTATAAATTAAGATTAGGTTAGGGTTAGTTAGGGTTGTTAATGGAGTGCTCTAGACAATAATAAAACATATAACCCACTCCGGAGCACTCCAGAGGTGGGTTATATGTTTTATTATAAATCGGAGTACTCCATTAACAACCCTAGGGTTAGTGTTAGAGTTTTTATATATTATAATTTTATAAATTTCTACATTGCCCACCTATACTATAGAAGATCCGTTTTCTAAGAACATTAATCAAAATTCAACATAACTGATTAAAATATCTTCTCTATTTGAGATATTATATAAATTTTTTTTCTGATATAAGCTGGGTTTAATTTTTTGTATAGAGAACAATAAGGACTTGAAAATGGTTTTATGAGACATAAAAATAAATCAATTTTATAAGTTGTTGACGTTAGAGTTTGGAACCGGTTTTATTTTTCATATGTTTAAATTGGGTTTAAATCGGTTTCAACATACTGTATGAAAATTAAACCGGCTCCAAACTTTACTGATGTCAAAATTACACCAACTGTAATAGAACAAACTTAAATGCAGAAATGTGAGAATAAAAATTATCGTGATGTGACGCTTGCCTATTATATTGAGAAAAAGAATGATGATTGGTGATAGATTCCGGATTTGTTGGTCAAAAAAAATTTTTATGTCATGGGAAACAAAAAATTAATTTTGTAGGGACCAATTAAAAATAGATAGACTATATTAAATTAAATACAGTAGTTTGATCAATATTATATAATTAAACTGTATTTTACACTAAAAATTTGCACAAGTAAATAAGTTAATTAAAATAGTCAACTAATCTGAAATTTTTTAATAAACTAATTGTTGATTAATTAACTGCATATTACTCGATACTGCAATAAATTTATCCAAAAATGTCGAAAATTTTAACTTAGAACACTAATGACTAGAATAATGAATCCTAGCCGAGGTTTATTAAATGCAACTGTCTCGACATATTTTGAATAATGTTACTGAGTAGAAACAATTAAAGCCCTATTCTTTTTACTCACCGAATTTAAGCTTTTTTTTTTTTTGATAGGTTTTTCGACGATTTAGGCTCCCTTATCAATATAAATAAAATTTTCAATCTAAAAATTTTACACAATCAGCATGATCCCAATGCTTGTGTATGTCCCGAAATATATGATAATTATTTCTTATACATATCGGCGAATTTGCGGAATTAAGGTCCATATATTTTAACGATGCGATTGTAAAACTGGCCTTAGATTTCAGCTATTATGCATTCTGCAATTGTTAAATCAAGGACCCTAATTTAATCCATTTCGCAAATCCGCCGATATGAACATTTATTGTTGTAAAGAAAAATGAAAATATAGTTCTAAAAATTATAAAATTGCAGGAAAAAATCTGGGATGCATGAAAGTTTCTCTGCAGATGGTTGTTCTTACTTTCTATATTTTTACCGATTCGTTTAGTGCTGTCAATTAGACAAGTAGACGTATGTCCAATTCTAATTGCTAGGTCTAATTAGTTCAATTGAAAATGGCTTCATTATTTCCTACGATTCGATCTGATTATCAAATGTACTCTCATTAATGGAATTAGTGAACTCAGTAGTACCTCAACATTCCATTATTATCGACATCATCGAATTGTCCACTCGAAAGATTTTAATTATGACCAGTCAATTCTGTCAAAACAATACTATAAATTAATCTTCACGTAAAACTTCATTGTAGGTGCGTCTCTTTTTATTATTGAAATGAAGTCTGTACTCCGTAACTGAATTGTTGTCTTATACAAAACATACATACAATCATTTGTTTCTCTCCACAATTATCTCGGCTTCTTTTTCTTTTAGTATCGTCATATAAAAAATGTAAGCATTGGTCGAAAATAAGTTCAAATATTTCCTGCTATTGTAAGAACATGAAATCTGATCGTCTCAAAAATATACTTCTCTTTTTCTATTCACACTAGCAATGCTCTGTCGCTCTGCACTATAATGAACTTTAAAACATAAGTTTAATAGTGATAAACAGAACTTCATTTATAATAAAAGTCTTGCATGCTAATAAATACAAATCGTCCAAATTGAAGCCTTTCAATGAGACTTTAATCGAAAGAGCTATTATATCCGTTACATAGACACCTTATCTTTAGGGATGGGAAGGTTTGATTTAGTTCGATTTGGTTTGATTATGCAGGATTTGCATAAATTAGAATTTATATTAAACCAAAGCAAACCAAATCAAACTTCCCCATCTCTACTTATCTTTTTCGTTTTCATGATTTTGCCCTAAATGCCGAATTTAACCAAACATCAACCCTTGAGAATATATACATATAATTATCGATTTAAAATTCACTCACAAAAACATAAAGAATGCTTTCTGTAATACCTACAAGGTATTCACATGTCTCTTTCCATTTTTTATTATGTGTGAGCTTTGCGAATGAATCTTTTGAAAATTCTTTCGTAAAACTTAATGCGAGCTCATTTCGGAAAAATGACGTAATTAGTTTTTGTTGAAAAATCAATTTAATAAAATATCGATATCATCTAAAGCAAAAATAATATTTTTTCGCGTTACGTATATGACAAATTTTTACCACAAAAAATTTTAACCCGATTTGATTGGTAGATCAGTCACATGTATGTGAAATTTGCTGAACTTTTTTTTTTTTTTTTTTTACCATAACTAAGGTTTTATAGTAAAATTATATGACATAATTTATTAATGATAACAGATAACATCATTAATTTCAATTTTATATATTGATAATAGTCACATGGATACAATAATCAACATTTTATAGTTGCGATTTAGTATCACAATAATTATTCTACCACAAATTATAATCAGAATCGACCAACTTGTACACCATTCGATTAGATTAATGCGAAGAAATAGAATACAAGATACTCTCAATAGATGAAAGTATGAAAGTCAATGAACCTATTCATTCTAAATGTTTTGTAAAATTTGTATCCAAAAGGTTTATATATTTCTTATGTCGAATATACTTGTAATGTTGAATCTGAGCCCTAAGTCATGAGATATTTCTCCGTCAAAGTAATGTATTCTTTTTCTTTGTGTGTCATTCTCAATAATATGTATGACCACGCGGATTTTGATTATCATTATCAAATCAAATAAACAAAATAACAGAATATTTTTTTATATAGTGAGAAGCCAAATCAATATTCATTTAAAAATATAAGATTACTTTAACTTATACTAGAGTATTTATATTCACTATACAAATAGCGCGTGATGAAGCGTCAATTGACACAAAAGATACAATTGCACATAAAAATATGATGGACGATATGATGAACGATTCAATTATAATATCGATCGATATACTGCTATCGCTGTCGTTATACAGTACAATAAAAAAAGAATGAATTCCAGAAGTAGCACAATTTTTTGCGATGATTATTACATTCATAGTGACATTTCAGTTTGTGGTGGTAACTAAATTAACTGAGTACTTTAATTTAAATCATAAAGGTAATATATGTCATTTAAATAATAGAATAGATTTCTTTGAATTAACGAACGAATAACCATACGCAAAATTTAAAAGTTTAAAAATCATCCGATATCAAAGTCAATATCATAAATAAATTCGATATCATTAATTATAAATCTCAGGAATTAATTTACAATATTTGTGCATTGAATAGAAAAGTCAGCATTTATCAGAAAAAAAAAACTCTGTAATATTCATTGCATGATAATCAATTATTTATAAAAAAAAAAACGAACGTGTCTTTTACCATGCTTATCAAAACTCCGATCGTATAAAAAAATTTTAGATTTGTTATAAAATTTTATAAAATTGTACTTTCACTTATATCTCAATTTCTCTAGAAAAAATCATCCCCAGTCTTCTATAAACATCGACACTTTAAAGGTATAAATATTTATCATACGTGTAGAATAACTTTTTATCCTTTAAATAACTTTATTAACACGTATAAGTAGGTTTCTCTACAGCTTTCTTTTACAAATTGATTAATTATAATTTTCTTTAATAGTTGTGTTATAACTAAAAGCTTTTACAAAAAAAAAACACATCTTTGAATAATTACTTTATTTATTATTAATCAAGCCCCTTTACCTCTCGCGTCATCATGAATATTCATCGACTTCTCGATAATTCTGAAGAGGTTTATTCTTCCGTTGTATTTAATAAAGAATTCGATGAAGATAATAATCAAGAATATATTAATCAAGAGACACCAGAAAATAAGAATGTTGGACCTGACTTTATTTTTAGTGGAAATTTATCGGCTTATGATTACTTCGCAAGTCGTGATAATCGAAATTCATCTGGTCATACCTTATCAACGTTAACTTCATTCATTCGACCCTATGAATTTTCACCTTTGTCTCCACCAACTAATAGTAAAGAAAAAAACATTTATTATGAACCACGAGAGAGACTTTTACTTGATGGTGCAGAGCTTTGGTCTCAATTTTATCGTGTTGAAAACGAAATGATCATTACAAAATCGGGCAGATGCATGTTTCCATTATTAAAATATAAACCTGTGAATCTTGATCCATCTGCTAAATATTCTTTTATCGTTGATTTTATTCAAGTATCTCCTACTCGCTTTCGATTTAAAAAGGGTAGTTGGGTTTCTATTGGTATTGATAAACGTAAATTTTCTCTAAACAATTTGGGTAATCGAAACGGGAGGATTAAAACTGGCATGGTCGGCGGTCGTCCATTTACACATCCTGATTCCCCACAGTCAGGTAATTTTTAATAAATCTAAAAATGTAAATTTTATCTTTTTTTTTTTTTTTTTATTAAATTTAATATTAATGAATTCAATATGTGATAGGTGCCTATTGGATGGATTCTGGTGTCAATTTCCCAAAAATTAAGCTCACAAATCGTCCATGTCATAATAATCAATCAAAATCGAAAAAACGAGGACGCCCACGAAATTCTGGACCGAATAATTCATCTTCTTTACCTGATGGTCATTTTTGTTTGACCTCTTTCCATAAATATCAACCTCGCGTGAAAATGATTAAACATGCGACTGATATTAATGACCACGATCAAGAGATAATCACTGCATTCGAAGAAACTACTTTTATTGCTGTTACTCATTATCAAAATGATGCTGTTAATTCTTTAAAGAAAAATTATAATCCTCACGCTAAAGGATTTAAGGATATGGATTCCAAAGATTTGGACTGTGATCAATTATATTATTCTGATGAAACTGAAATTTCAGATAATGAGTCCCAAAATGAATTTGATTCTGATTTCGACCGTGCTGATGAAAATGATAATCTTCGAAACAAAATTAGATTAGATAATGATTCTTTTTTTAAGTCGACTTCTTCAAGTGGTAGCATGGATCTTTTAACGTCTGAAAAGTCTGGTACGGCAACAAAAAAAATTAGACCAAATTTTACAAGACATGTTTCAGCTGAAGAAATTAGAACTCGCCAGACGGGTATTTATCACAGTAATAATCGCACGAAAGTTACAAAATACACATCGAAGGATCAATATGCTATATCTGAAAATATTATTCCTAATCATGAGACTCATAATTGGTTAGATTTAAATATTAGTTCCAACTTGAAAAATACGTCTTCTAAACATCGACCAAAACTTGATAAATCCATTTCAATACCATCTTTCAAATTTTTCGATCCATTTAATAAAAGCCTTATTACTCCAATTTCCCCACATAAGATTGATCAACAACCAACTGCGACTGGATTTCCCTGGATTACTAAACATACTCATAACGAATATGGTAGGGACACTAATATGACACAAAGGCAATATAAGTTAAACGCCTTTCAGCCAAAAGATGGATCAAAAGATGAATCAGATGATGAATTACCGCAACGATGTGCTCCACACCAAAATACACCTCAATGGGCATTTCCAGTTACTCCACCAACACCAATTTCTCCTAACGGCAAGGGCTTCACAACCTCTCCTCCTATTAATCCTTATTTGTCTCGTCTCGAACGTGCTGAAAATGAAAACATGAAATTGAGAGAATTCATTCGTGAAAGATACGGTATTGAAGCAGAAAAAGAAGCCGACGCTGTGGTCGCTCTTGGAAGAAATTCATAATAACTGGAGATTTAAAAAGTATAAATCTTTATTATGTTTTTTATCTATGATAAATGGGATAAATAAGTTATTTACAAATATGTATCTTTTCAGTTCCTACTTTTTTTTTTTTTTTTTTTGAAAACATTTTTTTTTTACTTTTGCTGAAATTCAGAGAGTTAAATTGACTGTTTTCTCTTTTTTTTTTCTTTTTTTTTTTCCTGCAACTTGCTTTTCAGAACAATTTTAATTGACTTTACGTTTTAATATTCACGGCACAAGATTGTTTTTTTTTTTTTTTTTGTGAATAAGTGGAAAAAACTGAAATTTCCGACGCATAGTCAAATTATCAAATTAGTCATTTTTCTCAATTTATATTTTCAATATTCACTTTTAAATGGCGGACGTCTTTCATTATATACTCCAGTTATTGTAAATTTTATAACGTGCATCTTAGAAAAATTGTATAAAGGGGTTTCATTTCTTGTTTTTTCATCCAATACGAGATTTGTTTTTATAACGATTTAACTATTTGTATCATGAAAAATTAATTAACAACTTGTATTCATAAATCATAAACATCTATTCTTTTGCCAGTACATATACGTAATAGACTAATTTTTTCATTGTATAAATTAGAGTAATATTTTTACTACCTAATTGATTAGTGTATATTATTTACGTATTAGCTAGATCAAATTACATCATCAGACGTATGGAAATTTTGGCAAAAAACTACCATAAAGTTATAACTCCAGTTTACTAAGAAAATTTATAAAATTGATGAATTTATTTTTTTGAGCGGATTTTTAATAAGTATGCTTAAATTACAGAATTATCGAGTGAATAATTTCCAAATTATTTTAAAGTTAAACTTTATATATAATTATATCAATTTAACTTATGGTCATGAAAAACATTGCCTTACAGATATATATATCTCCAGCGTTAATTTTAGTTTAAACATAATCACGTAATATATTCCCTTTACCGGATCTTAATTATATTGATTGAATTTCATTAATATTTAAGAAACTTTTAAAAGTTATAAACTTTATTATTTTATACTATTTACTATAATGTGAATTCGATTGACTACGATAACTATATATGTACGTGAAGTTTTCGAAAAAAAAAAACAAATTTACACTTATTATTTCCTTTATTTTATGCTTTATTTGTATCGTCAATTCTTAGTTTTGTAAAGGTGGCATTAATACAGTTTATAAATTTTTGGCATCAGCCTTAGAAAAATCCTAAAAGATTCAGTTATGATATTTTACGGTCATAAATACGCTTAGAACTTTATTGATCCTATTTATGATCTAATTATCAGATTAGACTTAAAAATCATAAAAATTTTTTTGACTGAGATATTGCCATTTTCTTGATCGCAATTACTTCACGATTATTCACTATTAAGTAACAATAGCAAACTCTTTCTTTTTATTTATTCATGTTTTTCACCAACTTTAATCAATAAAAAATGTTAAGTTCTTATATAATTTTTTGTATAAGTTAATATTATGATAGGCTTAGATTTATTTGATATCATGACTAAAATTTCCTATTTTGATTTTCTATCTTCTGGAGGAATGAAGCATTCGATAATTTTAATGAACTTTTCTGTTAAGGAAGCACCACCGACAAGAAATCCATCAATATCAAGTTGTTTCGCTGAATGATCACGATAATGCAAAGAAATAATAATAATACTTTTAGAATTACAAAGTTTCAATTGTTTTTTGTATTTAACAGATTAGAAAACAAACTCACCGAGTTCTGGAGAATTCGCATCATTAACGGAACCTAATATCGAAATATAGGTGTTGAAATTGTCATATCAAAAATAAAATTAATAAATAAATAGATAATGTTTGGGTAATGACAAGTTTTTTTATATTACCTCCGTAAATAATACGTGTCTCTTGGGCAACTTTTTCAGATACGTTTTCTGCTAACCATTTTCGAATAATAACATGAACTTCCTGAGCCTAACAAAAGAAATAAATTGAAAAGTGTCAAAATAATTAAAAATTTTCCAATATACCAATTACAGAATTATTTATTCATACTTGTTCTGGTGTTGCTACTTTTCCTGTACCAATAGCCCAAACAGGTTCATAAGCAATCACAACAATTTCCCATTTTTTCTCATCATCAATATTTTTAGCTATAGCTTGAAGTTGTCTGATAACAACTTCTTCGGTTTTGTTAGCCTCTCGTTCCTCCAATTTTTCTCCAATACAGGCTATCACTTTCAAATCACATTTCAAAGCGTGTGCTACTTTAGATGCAACAAACTATATCGAAAACAAAGTGAGACATATTAAAACGAGAATAAAAATAGAACATCAGAATATTGTACTATCTATATGGCATACATCATCAGCCTCTTTAAAAATCTCCCGACGTTCCGAGTGGCCCAAGATTACCCAATCAACGCCAACGTCTTTCAATTGTTCAGGGCTTTTTTTTTTAAAAAAAAAGCAGGATTATTTGGATTTCATCACTCGGTAACAAAGACAATCAAATCAACATTACCTGATCTCACCAGTGTAAGCTCCTTTAGTGCAATTAAAGGCATTCTGAGCAGCAATGCTAATGCCCTCACGAACTGACTTATGGGCCTGATCGATATATAGTGTAGGTGGGGAGATTACCACTTCTATAATTTGAAATAAATTAGTAATACTTTTTTTTTTCTTAAATTATTTTTAATCTGATAACTCACCAACATGATTTTTAAGCTCTAATGTATTCAACCTATCTATTATCTCCTTAAGCATAGCTCGAGAACCATTCATTTTAAAATTACCTTTTGTTTCGATTGGAATTAATTAAATCATCCAATTAACAATTATAATTCGTTAACTAACATACATACCACCCACAAAGGGTTTGCGGTTGTGTTTGCGCTCCGGATCCATAGCTCTAGATATTTCGAAAAGATCAATAAAGATAACTCTTAATAGGATAATGATGTTCTGAGCTTATATACTTTTTTTTTTTGATAATTCCTACTTTGGTTAGTCAGTTTTTTGGCACTATAAGATAACATGTTATGACTATCATTTCCCATTTTTACTTAATTATGACCATTATCATGCACTTGCGTATCACCAAAATTATGTGGCCTGATCTGAAATTAACGCCGAATTAAACTCGGTTAGATCCGAATCTAGTTCGTCAATGACGTAGCTTACCGCAATAAAAGTACAGTCTACCCTCGTTAATATCAACCTAAACCATAAGATGAATTTTTACAAATTTTTATATATTAAACCTCCCTCATATATATCATCATTTAATATAATCCCTTGTTAATATCATTATCAACATGAACTTAAACCAATTCAAATGGGTTGATATAAACAAGGGTAGAATTTACAGATTTATTATCGTTGTTATTGATTCCTCTACAAGCAGTGATGATGCAAGTAATAATCGCCGCTGTGACTATTGTGATTATAAACACAGGTGTTAGCGTAATGAGTGCACCTCCGATTAAGAGAAATGTCCCTTATATTAAATATATTTTAGAATCGATATTCTTCTTACCGTCACAAATATAATGTAGCAGCAAAGTTTATCATGTTGAGAATATTACTTACATATAATAATGGTCGTGACAAGTGATCCAACAGACCAACTAATAAAAAGTTAAACCGGAAACGCGAACAAGGATCCAAAGGCAAAGGAAAAATCTTTTAAAATTTGGTATCTTGACACAATGTCATAACTGTAATTAAACTTAATTTGTTTTATTATGTAGTTGAAAGCCTATTGTGAGATTGGGTATAAGAATCCATCTTTTTTAAAATGTTACGGAATATCTAGAGATGAAAATACCAAAGACTATATACTTGTTTTGAAATATGCAGATAAGGGCTCTTTGCGTGCAAACCTTCACAAGATAACACAAATGGATTGGAAGAAAAGGTTAAATTTGCTACATTGTATAGCCTCCGATCTCGAGATAATTCATTCTCAGGAACTTATTCACAGTGATTTACATAGCGGTAATATTTTGCAAGATGATTTACATAATGCGTATATAGCAGATCTAGGTTTATATATGCCCAGAAGTTTTAATTGGAAATTCATATACAACAGCGTAGATATATATTCATTTGGAATAATAATGTGGGAAATTTTATATGGTAAACCTGTATATTTTGATAAAGAATTCAACTTATCACTTCAAATAAAAATTTGTAATGGTTTACGACCAAAAATTGTTGAAAATTCCCCACAACGTTATGTAAACTTAATGATGAAATGTTTAGAAAGGGAACTAAAAAATCGTCCATCAGCAACAGAAATTTGTAAGATTTTTACAAAGTGGAAAAATGACAGAAATATATTATCTGAATTAACTAAATCTGAGGAAATATTAAAGAATGCTGAAAATACATATAAACAAACATACTCTAAAGATATTTATACAAATGAATTTATTCCTTATACTAATGATCCTGTAATTTGATATTTAATTATAAATACAGGCAATTTACAATTTTTAACAACTTTACAAAATTCTGTTACAATTAAATTACTAAAAATAAGCCATTTAATAATGATTATAATGTACTATTAATGCAAACTTCTGCAAAAATAAGAACTTTTATTTAGCATTTTATTACCATAATTAATGTACCCGCGTCTGCATCTTCAGTTTCTAACAACTCTAACTCGCAAACACCTAGGGATATAATCACTGTTTATGCGCTAGTCATTTTGTTAACATCCAGTGTTTAAAGTTCAGATCTAAATTATGTTCTCAAATGAGCTCAAAAAATTGTTAATCTTCATTATAGAGTACATTAATTTTTTGACATTGTTAATAATTTTGTTAAAATGTTCTCTAATATATAATATCAAAAATAATATACCGTATTACCGCGAAATAACGCGCAGGGTGAAATTACAAATTTCGGCCTAAATTAAGCTTAATTCGGGCCGAACCTCGAAATTATGCCCATGATCGTTATTTCGCGGTAATACTGTATGATATAATTAATTAATAGTGCAATTACTACGATTTTCTAGTACTGTGATCATTAAATGATTATCTATCATGTAAACTTCTTTAAATTTCTTTCTTTTTTATAAGTTATCTCTGAAATAAAATATTTTTAAGTTTTCTTATTGAATACTAATTTTTCAGTATAACTATAAATTATTATATCAGATTTTTTCAGTTGGTTGATCGGGCAATAAAAATTTTCACTTATTTTATAAATTTGAATGAAGGAATCCCTGCTTTATTTTCAATATTCAAAAATATTTTGAATTTTATAAGGCTTTATTGAGATACCTTCGAAAGCACATAGTTAATATTAAACATTAATAAAATAAAAAGTTGATTACTAATTGACTAATATTTGCATTTTAATATTAAAATTTTCCAGATTCCTGTGTAGTATGTGCTGATCACAATAATTTGAAAAGTGCAGTAAATAAAAACAGAAAAAAAAAACTTTTATACCTGATGAATTATCATAAAAGAGTTATATTCAATTTGGGTTGGTTCATAGGTTTAACTTCATTTCATTCATTTTATCATACTAAGTTCTTATTTTTTATTCACTTTATTTCCAATTAACTAGCCTATATAATATTTTATATTACGATACATTATATTCATTTATCATTCTATCTATAATGCTCAATATTTATTACAAAACGCACATATGATGGTTTTATATGTTTTATATGCTTTTTTTTATATAAAATTTTAGTACAAAATTTTCATTTTGAGGTTAGTATTTAATGTTATAATTAAGATTTAGGAAGGGTTTTGAGGACGTAAAAGCATTTTTACTCAGTGTATCGCATATTAACTAATTAGCCAGTTTTTATGATAATGCAATAAGTGGTAAAAAAGTGATACTGCGATAACTTCGTTAATTATTTTTATTTTGCATGTGATTACTAATAATTGCTAACTTGCCCCTGGTAATGTTAACCACCCTACGATTTACCAATCGGATGTGTAACAATATAAAGAAATTTTTAAGAAAAAAAAGTAAAAAATTATCAATATCGCAAAATTTTATTACAAAAAATAGCAAAAGTTTTCAGTACCTAATTTTTTACATATAAATAATTTACACTCCAACTTAATTTAGCCTGTATCCTAACTCTAATCTTTAAAGAATAATTTATTTATATAGTATAAAATTCCATAAAAATAATGGGTTGTTAAAATTTATAATTTTACTAGGGAAAAATTAGCTAAATTCAATCATCATAATGGGCATGCTAAAATTTAAATATTATAGTTAAGAAATTTTAATTACTGTATTATCATAAAATAACATCCCCGGGGCATTGTTTTGAGTCTCATAAATTTTTGATAGCTGAATCAATAAATTTTTGATATCGAAAAATGTCAGTAACTTATTGATTCTGACTCAAAAACTTATCGATTTATCATTGAATAAGAGAGCCAATAACTAACTAACTAAAGATTTTATTTTTTTTATTTTTTTATTTTTTAATTTATTATTTTATTTTATTTTTATTTTTATTTTTTATTGAAAGTTAGATTAAAACCCAGTTTGGTTAAATAGCTAAGATTAATTAAAATACAGTATTTTTTAGGTGATTCAATTCGTAATTATAATTATAATAATAATAAAAAAAATTAAAGTGGAATGTCCGTCCGGCAACACCAGCCAATCAGAGGGCTTATTTGGATGATCCTCAAAATTGCCAATCATATTGTTTGATTAATACACGTGATTAATATGTTGGCTAAAGTGTAATATATATAAAAATAAAGGACTTTTATATTTACCATCTTAGTGTAATATCTATGCTAAAAAATATTTAATGCATAAGGCGCAGGTATTCTAATCGTTGTAAATAATTATGAAAGTATATATTCGAATATCTACTTGATAGATTTGAAACCATCTTAATTCGATTCTGATTATATGATAACTAAGTTGTATTCGATCATTTTTATTATTGTTGGTTTAATACACAATAGGATTCTCAACTATGGAATTAATTTACACGGCATTATTATTGCTTAAGCGAAACTATTATGTAATGACGCAAACTATAATACATATAAATTCATAATATCGATTTTTCGTTATATCTGTAAAATGCAAGATCAAATACTGAATTAAACTATTTTAACAGATCCCAAAAATTTATCATGATAATTTTAGTTCGAATATATTTTTTTTATGCTAAATCATATATACGTACTAAAAACTTAATCAACTTTGCATTATTGCTCAATAAAAAAAATCTCTTATACGTACTAAAATTATCTTAATGCCATATATATACTACGTATATACAGTATACCGAGTAGGTGAAAAGTCTTTATACAGGTCTCTTTTTTTACTATCTCCGCTGAGATTTATAGAACTTAATTTTAAATACAATTTATATATAATATTGCAATGATTACTATTTTAGTGATTAGGACCTGTATAGAGACTTTTCACCCACCCGGTATATGCTTAATCGAGTATAATCGATCAAGCATGGCTCGAACATATATAATCGATCAATTATTGGATTAATCATTGATTCATAGACAGAAGTTCGTCTGATTGGCTAATAAATTCAATTTAATTTTACATTATTTATACAGCTTAAAGTACTTTTTAGAAGATAAAACTACGAAGAGTAAACAAAAAAGAAACATATGAAAAGTTTTACTAGGGTTGTAGGACTTCATCATTAAAAAATAATCTAATTCAATCCTGGTTTTAGAGAAGTTAGCACTAGAGATTGTACCCGGGTAAACATTTTAATATATGGCTATAATAAATTACCCGGATAACCGGATAATTTAATAATACCCGGGTAGAGATTTTCTTGACGGGTACAATCTCTAGTTAGTGTTACTATTGTAAATTGGGAGAGCGAGCGTAAGGTATAGTTTAGCTCCAATAGTTAA